ATTCATGATTTAAAATGATTTATGATTTTTCAAGTAATTATGCAAATAATTAATTTGACGACGTATAGACACTCCTCACCTCGCCTATACGTCGTTCACATGCATTTCACATAACAAATAATTTAAGGGTTCTATTCTCTCAAATCAAGGTTAACCACGACATTTACCTCTCTTTGCAACCAAATTCAGGATTCCAATAAACCTTTGCCTCGCGAATTCGTATCTGAAATCCTCAAATCTAGTCATAAATAATTCAATATACTCAATACAAATCGTAGGAATTAATTCCATATGAATTTACTAATATTTCGGATTAAAATATGAAATTTATTTTAAAAATTGACAGTAGGACCCACGTCTCGAATTCCAAAAAATTTACGAAATCCGAACACCCGTTCCGATACGAGTTCAACCATACAAAAATTATCGAATTCCGACATCGGATTGCCTTTCAAATCCTCAATTAAAGTCTTTGAAGATTTCTTTCAACCTAATCTTTACCCATTTGAACTCAATAATCTTCCCACAAACCTTATTGGTACAAGCATGTATAACTAATACTCTCACTTCCAAGAATTATCTTACTAATTACACATTTCTAGTTGGATTTCAAAATTGAAGAATTGGGGAAAGAAATTCTTACCTCTTTGAAGCCTTAGCAACCCTTTGATGCGATTTCAAGGTTTGATTCAAGGAAGAGTAGTGAAATCTGTTGATCTCCCATTTTCTCTCTCTAGAATCGCTCTCCCTTCCCTCTAAAACACCAAAAATTGCCCCAAAAATAAACCCCAATCGAGTTAAATGAAATGGGGTTCGGGTCATAAAAACCTATTTTTGTACAGCCGCGACGCATGGGGAGCCGTGGAGCACCGTGGGGTACGGGGCGGCTGTGCAAAAAGTTTTTGGAAATGAAATTTCGGAGCGTTCTGGAATTTCTCACTGGCGCGGCGCTCCGGGCGGCGCGTGAGGCGGCGCGGTAGTACAAATGCTGCCAGCGTTTGGTAATTTGGTCATAACGTCTTGTAGGAGTATCCAAATAATAATTGGTTTGAAGCGTTAGAAACTAGACTCGAATATCTTTCATTTTATAGGTTGTCTATCACATAACGTCATATATATATATATATATATATATATAGATATGCTCGTCCAAAATTTGATCTTGTGCGTACTCATTTGGAACTTTAGTCTATTATGAATTTTTCCAACTTGGCTTAGACTTAGGACTTTTCTTAGACTCCATATCACTTATAATATACCTCGTACACTTATTATTATATCCAATAGGTGTCCATCATGTTAATAGTCCTCGAATGAGAAGTAGAGTCCTCCCCCAAACACATAACATAACTTATCTCTTCTTTCGCAAATTTCAATTTTTCGAATTTTACTAACTCCCAAAATTTTCAAAGATTTTGCCAGAGTTTCCTTTGCAACTAGGCCTATCCACTTGCCAGAGAATCCCAGAAACCAATCCTAACAACACATGCATAATCCAATCAACGTAACATAACATGAAAACAATACTAACAGTGGCCTCATAAGCATTATATTTCTAGAAAATGAACGACATTAACATCAACTATTCAGGTGATACGTAACTCATAGCAGGTAAGCTACCAATATCTTCATAAAATACAGAAATGAATGTTTAAATTAAAGATGATATTTTTGGATCATCACAATTTAGTCCATATATTTGAGTGAGGAATTTTCAGAAACCACTATTGTTTAGTGGCTATTAACTTTCTATAGCTACCATATACAAAATTACTTCCTATAGCTACTATTCAGTTGTTACGTTGGTGTATTCGCATATGCACTACTGTATTCATGAATACAGTAGCAAAAGTCGCCAAAAAACAGGGGGTTACAGCTGTACGCGACTGTATTCACATGTATTCGCGCCATGCATTCATGAATACAGTAACGACAATCACCTTAAAAATAGGTTTGTCCAACTGTCTAATAACGGAAATAGGATCACTTTGCGTGATACACTCCTAATATAACTCAACAAAATCAATTCTAACATGCCTCGTTATCAACTCAATTAATTAGAATAATTTTTCAGTTGTATATAACTGTTGTACTTAGTGTGTTTCAATATTTATTTTTTACTGTTGCATTCACTAAATATATTCAATATTTGTATTTACTGTATTCGCTATTTTAATTCAGTTTATTCAAATGTATTTGTATTAATAGTATTTCAGTTGTTCCTAATATATGTTATTACTGTTATATTCAATATATTTCATTGGTTGTATTCACTGTATTTCTATTTGTATTCAGTGTATTTTACTATATTTCACTATTTTTTAAAATTATGCGTTCACTGTTTATATTATGTTCTATTTCAATATTTGTATTCGGTGTATTTCAATGTTTATATCTTGCAGTATTCAGCTGTATTAAAAAAAATACAGACCTTTGAAATATATAAATACACGCAAAAAAGTGTATTTATACAAAAATACATTGTGATTGAGTGAATTTGCACATAATACAATGTATTTGTATTATTGTATATGACTAAATAGCAAAGAAGATAAAAAAACTCGTCGGAGATGGCGTTTTCCGGCCAAGAAGAGAAGAAAGTTTGTCGGATCCGTACAGAATACAGTATCCGTCGTTCATGTTACAGTACCCATGCTCTACTCAGATTATTCCGACATCGTTTTTGCTCCCCGCGCAGTGGCCCTAGCCTCAGAGCGACAAGCCCCTCCTTGCTATGGAGGAATCTGATTTTGAAGAAAAGGTCTGTCTTTCCCCTCTTTCTCCCAACAGTTTAGAAGTATTTTCAATTGTAGTAACCCTAGAGGATTCGGCCAAAGAATTCACGATTAGAAGTAGGTATTTGGCTCGAAGAGAGAGAGAGAGAGAGAGAGAGAGAGAGAGAGAGAGAGAGAGAGAGAGAGAAGAAAAATTCTGATGTGTTAATTGAAAGAAAAAAAGAGGAAAAATATAAATAGCGTATTTCATTCCTCAATGGTAGTATATACTATAAATACTTATTTTGCTATAAAATATAAAAGGCAACTATAAAAAATAATATTTTAAAATAATTTTTGTTTATAATAAATAGTGTGTATACATTTGGTATAGGAGGTAAATTTCCTATTTGAGTCCCTTAGGCTTAACTCATTCCTGTGAACGCCCAATGTCAACACTTTGGGCTTAATAGCAGAAGTTGATCTCAATGGCCCAGGTTTAGTTTGACAATATTGGTGTTCAGGTAGTAATAGGACGGGCTAGCCACTTCTCGGCTCCTGTAATTGAAAAATAGCCGTTGCCATAGAGTTTCAAATTTTACTGGTGAAATTTCATGATAATATTCCTGGATTTTTCACACGTGGGATTAGAAACTCCATGATAATAGTTATTTTTTAATTATACGAGCTGAAAAGTGGCTATTTATAAAATTTACCTAGCGTTCAGCCTAGTCGAGTCAAACTTTGATGGTTACAATGTAAAAAGTGCTTTGAATTTAAAATCATGTTAAGTAGTATCATTTACTTGTTCAATAATTGCACAAGATTTATAAAGCCTTTGCATATACTTTACCCCCTAACTTACTCGGAAAATTCTTTTACGTAGCTTCTCTTTGTAAGCTACGTGTTTCATCTATCATTTAGCATGGATAAGAATCTACTAAGATTCATCTTTTTGATATTTTTTTATTTACTGTTTTGAAGTGTAAAACCGGTAATTTAGGCAGGAAAAAGCTATAAAGAGGAGAAAGCAACTGATCATATATATAGTAACTACTCTTACATTTTATATATATATATAAAATCTTTAAAGTAACAGAAATTTATTTGGTAAAATGAATACTTCCTCTGGTCCATGTTATTTGGTGTTTTTATCTTTTTATTTTGGTCCAAAATAAGTGACTTTTTAATATTTTGAAAGTGTAAAACCGGTGCTTTAGGCAGGAAAAAGCCATAAAGAGGAGAAAGCAACCACAAATCTATAATTTCTAAAACATAAGTGCACCAATAAAGAAAGGAGAAAAAAAAAGTATTAAGTGAGAATTGATCCATATTTTTTTGATAAATAACCCAATATTCAACCAAGTACACCATTCAATCTTTGTGGAACATAGGTGCCAACCGATAATATTAGAGTAATTCTAGAAAGTAAATACATAAAATACCTAGTTTAACGTGAAAAAAATATGAGTTCAGGTGTCACATAAATTACGCAATAAATCCACCCATGAAAGCAATTGAGCATATTAGTAAGTACTCTTACATAAAGAATATATAGTATCTTTTGCTCTAACTAATATATAAAAAAAATATATCTTTAATGTAACAGAAATTAATTTGGTAAAATTAATACTTTCTCCGGTCCATATTATTTGGTATTTTTACATTTTATTTTGGTCCAAAATAAGTTACGTTTTACATAATCAAAAAGGTATAATTTTATTTTTTTTCAAATTTACCCGACCTTCCTAAGAAGTCTTTCTCAATTTCATTTTCCTATGGAAACATTCAATAGGTACTCTTACCATTTCTTCAAAGGCATTTGATATGCGCATAATATTATGCCATATTGCTTTCACACAAGATATGCGTGTTTCCTTATGAGAATTTAATTAAGGGTAATATAGTCAAAAATTTTCTTAGTTCCTAGGGTAAGTAGTTACTTAGGGGTGTGCCGAATACAAAAATACCAAATATTATGGACCGGGGGAGTAATAATTTTAATTTGCAATTAAAGCATTGAATACTATCACATAACACTATGAAAAAAACAAGAATTAGCGACGGACAAATTATGTAGCTAAACAAAAAAATTCATCGATAATCTTATTTAGTGATGGATTAGCGATAAATTATCAAAAAATTCTGATAGCTTACGAGCAATTTAGCGACAAATCAACAACGAAGTTCATAGCTAATTGCAGTTAAATTACCATCCATAACAAGGAAGACCATGTAATATTCTTTTTCTGAAAAAAATGACTACTACATTATATTTCATAGTCTTCAATTTGAGAGAGTAGCAAGTTGCTGAATATTCATAGGAAAAGTAAAATTGGGACCTCCATAGAAAGCCATATCCCCAAGCAAAAGGTTGACAGCAGAAGTGGGGTGATATGCATCCCAAAATAAGTAGTCATCTCTGTTTGGACATGGTGTTTGCATTGGAAGACAAGTTACTTCCCCTTTGTTTTTCCCTGACCCACAACACCCACGATTTTTCACACTAAACCCATAGGACTTGTAGTTGATAAATATATCCTTGAACATATTTTCCATGTCAAGGAAAATGAAGTGGGCACCAGGCAGTTCACTCTTGTTGAGTTTCATGATCATTGTCTTTAATTTGGCATTGAATGGGCGCACCATTTGATTCACCATTTCTGAGCATTCACCATTTGAACTTTCTGCTAGCAAGAATGGGATGCAACCCATTTGTCCAATCCCAGCAATTATAAATTTCCGAGCTCCAAGATCATATAATTTCTGCAAGGGTAACATTGAGCGCAGATAAATTTTTACCTGTGATTAGTAGTGTACCTATGGGTAAGTTGTATTCACGCAGAATTCGAGAAAGGGCTGCACCACAAGGAGTGTGATATAGACAGCCTACCCTAATGCAAGCATTAGTGGCTACTTTCCCGGCTCGAACCCGTGACCTATAGGTCATACGGAGACAACTTTACTATTGCTCGAGACTCTTGTTCCTATGCCTAAGTTGAACGATTAAAGGAAATGAAGAGATCTTACTATCAATTGCTCTTTGTATTGATGAACCAATAATTCAGCAAACTTTTGAGGAGTGTATTCATCTTGAGTAAAGTAAGCAGGCATAATGTAATTGTTGAGGTAGTCATTGCTGCCCATCCCAACGAAGAAAATGCACTTGGGAATTGCCTCTTCCACAATTGGTGCACTCATATTTTTTACCAAACTCACCAACGTGCTTTCAAAGTTTTTTATTTGATAACTGAATGGGATTCGCTCCACCTGAAAGACAAGAATCATTAGTTCAAAGAAAACCTTTTTTGTTTTTAAATTTTTGATTCGACCTTTTTTTAAAAAAAATTATCTAAATATTACAAGAGTACTTATAAATCACACTGGTTAAGCAGATTTGATTATGGATTTACTAGTTTAATTCTATACGCTAACTGTGTAAAAAATATTTAAACATTTCAGTTATTTATACTGCAATTACCAGTATCTTTATGATAAACATTATTGATAACTTTATCTCTAATTAACTGTGCAAAGTAAATCTTTATATTGTCAGCGTGTATATATATATATATATATA